TTTTTTTTTACATTCGAAGATGTATTTTGTAACTTAAAAATGCATGTTGGTTAATGAAACAAATTAAATCATGTCTAAGATGGAATGATTGGATATTTAAATGAACTCATAAGAAAACAACTAATTAAATAACGCCGAAGATAAAATCATAGAATGAATGAACAATCATGGAATTAAATTAGAACACAACTTATATATGGAATCAAATCAAATCAAATCAAATATGTACACTCTAAACGTCTCTGAAGGCATTGCTTCGGATTAATTCCCAAACATGTTGAATCTTACAAATATAATTATAGTATGTACGAGCCTATTTATATGGACATGTAATTATATTATTTTTTATTCAAACCAAAATAGGAAACACGTAATATTGATAGGGTCATTTACACATATCCCATACAATTCAATAAATTTTGTAACTCTACAATCCCACTAAAAATAATTGCATGTTAAAAAATATAAGATTTAATTAGATTACTTCTTATTGGCAGTTACCATTTCCCTTAATTTACGCTTGATACCATATATATATATATATATATATATATATGGTAGTTTAGATTTCCTACTAATTAGGGTGTTCAATTCAATATAACCGTCGCTTCGTTAATTTGCGCAGATCGTGGGTTTTAATTCTCATGTTTTTTAATAGGTAGTATATCATGTGTATATAATGAGTATATATTCAGTTTTTTCAGTTCTCGTGTTTTTTAATAAGTAGTATATATATTGTGTATATATTGAGTATATGTTCAGCTTTTTTTAAATAGACAGTATATATTGTGTTTATAGTCAGTATATAGTAAGTATATAACCTGATTTTTTATTTACATAGCATCTTTTTACCACAATTGTGATATTTAAATTTCAACTGTCAATTGTTTTTAATGAACAGTATATATTGTGTTTATAGTCCGTATATGATAAGTAAATTAAGCACGGACCATATGAGAAACACACGAAGCACGGACAACGAAAACATATACTGAACATATACTGTTTATATACGCAACATATACTGCAAAAAATAAAAAATCATTTTTTTCTCTCATTGTATGGAATTTTGCCCGTCACCCAGCCGAGAGGTGAGTGGAACTCAGACCTCCGCCGCCGGCTGTCATCACCAGGCTTCGGGGAAAAAAAAAAGAAGAAGAATACATCATGGAAATATGTCTCTCTTCATCCTCACAATCCCCCAAACAACCAAATTATCATCATCCGACAAGAAATCCCCCACCCAGCCCGAAATCAACATCACGAAGCATCTCTCCTTCTCTAATTTCGGCCAACCAGCCCAGAAGGCACGACCGTCCAAGGCCTCACACTCCTCGGCAATGCCGCCGTCTCGACATAAACGAGATGCATCTAAATATTCGAAAACAACCTCCAAAACACGGCCGATCGAGCAATCTACTCGTCCTCTGTCCGTCTGCTCGACTATTCTTTCTTAGGGTTTTATAAAAGATCGAATATAAGAAGAAGAAGAAGAAGAAGAAGAAGGAGAGTGTGAGAGAGATGCATTATTGGTAGTTTGGAAGATTATACGTTTCCTTGAATTTTGCTAATTATTGATTAAGTATCTAAATTTCATTTTAGGTAAAGTTACAAATAAAACTAGGATTTCTAGCTATATTGCAAATCTTTGTAAAATAGTTTTAATTATGCAATAAAATAAGAATTACCTGGTGTAGGAGGTAATTTTCTCATATTGATATGTAAGATTCCAAAGCAGTACCAAGCACGTTTACGGGCTTGTAAGGGATTGTAAAGGTTTACAATCAGCACGTTTTGAAGTTTTGAAATTATATTAAGAAGGGATTGTAAGGGTTTACGGGCTTATAGCCCAACTTTGGGCCTCTAACTATGTAAAAGTAGATTTCAATACTACGGCCCAAAACAACTGGAATTGAATAGGTCTACGAATGCGGAAAATGAAAATAAAGTTTGTACTATTAAATGTTGCTATGAATTGTACTTGTTACCATTTTATTACTTATTTTGACTTTTGAGAATTTTCACGATATTGTATCATATTGCTGAATTTATATTCTATCACTTATTTATCTCATATGTTTTCAATTAGCCGTTCCCGATTGACTCACATAATATGTTGTGAACTAGAATAACAAAATTGTTAAAATTATCTTTTATCTTTCGTATTGTACAGCCTCTGCATGGCCAAACACGTCGCTCAAAGGACCATCCTAATTTCCAAAGCCCATTAACTTGCGCCGAGACCTAGTTGAATTACATTTCCTAATCAATGGCTTGGTTATCTCTGCGTCGTCTGCTATCTGCTATGTTCATTGAAGATTCCCCGGCGCGCCGTTCGTAGACACATCTCGCCGTGTACTCCTCCGACCTGACTACTTGAATTGATACTTCGTGTACTAACGCAGACGTGACCCCGCGATCGCCCTCTGAACGATCAGAACAAGGCTTACAATTAACATTTGTCAAATTTTATGTGATAACAACATTTATGCATTGTAAATGCTCTTATTTTGTTTTAAATAATTTCAAATATACTTCTGTCCATCCAAATAAAATTCATACTACTTAAATTCAAACATTTCGTACCAAAAATAAATTATCCACTTTATACCACAAAATCGAACATTTATTATTAACAACACATTTTCTATGAAAAAATAAAAATAGCTATCAGATACTTAAAATAAAATCATCAACTTTATACCAAAATTGAATTTATTAGTTTTGTCAACTTTATACAATAAATTAATTAAGTATTTTTTAAAAGTCATTTCTACATTTTGTCCAAAATATTTTTTAGCGGCACATAAATGTTACTTATATTTTGTATTTGGTTATCTTGTCTACGAAGAAAAACATAATCTTGCAACTCTACTGTGCCAACAAAAAGATGTATGAAAAAAATAACATAAGTATTAATTTATTATGTTTTACTCAATACAAAAAATATAATATAGGTATAAAGATTAACGATTAATTCTCTATAATTGCTCAATCAAGTCAATATATTTAAACTAAGGATTTCGAAAGTTTCTATAATACCCCACATTTGTTTCCATAAAACTAAATCATCCTAAATTTAAATTCAACTAATAAAGGTAATAACCATAAATATTTGACTAAAAAAGATTGTGTACATTAATTACATTGATTTTTGTTAATTTACTATTTTTAAACAATAATTAATGAAATTGGCGGGAAAGTATTTCTAAAAATGAATTATGTTAATCTTTATTATATATTAATAGATTAGCAAATTCCTTAAT